CAATGGTAGAAGGAAGTTTAATCAGTGCATAGTGGTAATTAGTAATAGGAGATAATTAATATGAGTGCCCTCGCAGGTTGTTGTTGCTGGCTGATGGTTAGGCAACTGAGTGAGGTGTGCGGAGACTCAGGCTAGCTGCATTAGAGAGATGCTGAGCATATTCTTGGTGTTCCATCTCTAAGACATGTAATAAAGGCCGTTTAGGGGGATATGGGGCTTGATACGTTACAAGGGCGTAGGGCGATAAGAGAATAATTGAAACAGTGGTGGTATAAGTTAGCAGGCATTACCAGGCAATAGGTATCGCAAAGAAGCTTAAATGAGGAATGGAATATTTAGAGTCATGGAGGAGGCAGGCAGAGGAAGTGTTTTGGAGTAAGGTCATTGATGATCTCTTTTTCCGCCATTAGGTCTTGACAAGGCCGAGTGGTTGCCTGAATATCAAATGGGGATTGGCCCCTTGAGGCTTATTGTCTATAATAGGGGACAGTATTAATTAGAGGGAGATTAAAAAGTTTGAAACAGGGACTAAAAGGTAGCAAAGTAAAGCTGTTTATTGTATAAGACATTTAACAAGGGGTAGAGTTAAAAGTACATGCATCGGCAAAAGTGATGCTGGGTCTAGATTAATGTTTAGGCTCAGGTCAGGCACTGCATGGGCTAAATGAGGAACTGGGTAGGCATAGGGGGAGGAGGGGATGAAGGAGTGCTGTTGTGTGATGATGAGTGTGAAAGTGTGAGTCATGTGTTGTGGGAGTGTCCAGCATATAGTAGTCTTAGGAGCAATTTCTTAGTTGCCCTGCAGGGGAAGCTTGGGGATGATGGGTTTGAGCATTTCCAGTCCTTGATAGTTTCAGGAAAGCACCCTTTTATTGGGTAGCGAGCTGTGGGAGGATAAATTAGGTTCTTGCTTGGTCTTGTTAAAGGTATTCTTTTGATGTTTGGGAGCTAAGAAGGTTAGGTTATACGGCGATAATCCCAGCGTACAACAGACCCAGTCCCGAGATTGCGCTCTGGGGAGCTGCAGGGTGTCGCTGATGAAGGGTGAGTGAGGTCGCTCCATCTGAGATGAGACAGACACCTCGATGATCATATGTGTCATGCACAAGTTTCAACAGGCTAAACTGAGTTCACAAGACACAAGACTGGAGTGGTGTCTAAGTAGTGATCCAGGACTGTACTGGGTATTAAATACAAAAGGTTCGATAGTAGGACAGAAAAAGCTCTTTCTCCCATTCACGAGCAGCATTATGGACTTCTTACCTCATCATGCAGGTCTACTGTGGCTCCATGTTGTAATAACTTGTCCACCACCTCCACATGTCCATTCTGAGATGCAGCCATCAGTGAACTCACTCCATCCTGAGATGACATAGGACAATACGATGACATGTTCATGCACAAGTTTCACAGGCTAAACTATGTCACAAGACACAACTGGTAGCGTATTAAGGAGTGATCCAGGACTGTATTGTGTATTAAATACAAAAGGTTCGATAGTAAGCACAGAAAAAGCTCTTTCTCCCATTCACGAGCAGCATTATGGACTTCTTACCTTACTCTGAAGGTCTACTGTGGCTCCATGTTGTAATAGCTTGTCCACCACCTCCACATGTCCATTCTGAGATGCAGCCATCAGTGAACTCGCTCCATCCTGAGATGACATAGGACAATACGATGACATGTTCATGCACAAGTTTCACAGGCTAAACTATGTCACAAGACACAACTGGTAGTGTGTTAAGGAGTGATCCAGGACTGTACTGGGTATTAAATACAAAAGGTTCGATAGTAAGGACAGAAAAAGCTCTTTCTCCCATTCACGAGCAGCATTATGGACTTCTTACCTTACTCTGCAGGTCTACTGTGGCTCCATGTTGTAATAACTTGTCCACCACCTCCACATGTCCATTCTGAGATGCATACACCAGTGAACTCCACCCATCCTGAGATGACATAGGACAATACGATGACATGTTCATGCACAAGTTTCACAGGCTAAACTATGTCACAAGACACAACTGGTAGCGTGTTAAGGAGTGATCCAGGACTGTATTGTGTATAAAATGTTCGATAGTAAGGACAGAAAAAGCTCTTTCTCCCATTCCACGAGCAGCATTATGGACTTCTTACCTCATCATGCATGTCTACTGTGGCTCCATGTTGTAATAACTTGTCCACCACCTCAACATGTCCATTCTTAGATGCATACACCAGTGAACTCCCTCCATCCTGAGATGACATAGGACAATACGATGACATGTTCATGCACAAGTTTCACAGGCTAAACTATGTCACAAGAAACAACTGGTAGCGTGTTAAGGAGTGATCCAGGACTGTATTGTGTATTTAAAGGTTCGATAGCAAGGACAGGAAAAGCCTGAGATGACACATGGGAATACCTGATGACATTCACAAGACATGCCCACTAAACAATAAACCACCTCAACACGCACATTAGTTAGAGGCCATAGAGCACATGAACAGAAAAATAGGCAGAGCCAATCTACATGCACACGAGATATTGGTCCCCATTTTAACACATGGCAGAGTGAAAATGTACTTTCTGCTCTTAGTTGGCTTGCTGGTCAGAAAATGTGTGTATTAACTCTTTGGGGCCCAAAGCCATTCGAGTGGCCTTTTACGTCACTAAAACGCAACGGAAACGGAACGCAAAAAAAGAAAAAATAATGCGCGAAAAAGAAAAAAGACGGCCTTAGCTAGTCACTCCACTCTCCTGAAGTAGGCTAAAACGTTACCTATATTCGGGATTACGTAGTCAATTGCGCCCGTAATGTGGACTCCAAAGAGTTAACATCTTATGTTTCTGCTAGGCCCAGTATAGTGTCATCTGGTATTGTCTCTCAGGATGAGTGAAGGTACACAATCCTAAAATGCCAATTAACGATGCATACATCAGTGAACTCCACCTATTCTGAGATGACACATGGGAATACCTGATGACATTCACAAGGCATTCCCACGAAACATAAACCACCATTGCCAGATGCGTGTGCCTACTACGACTATATATATTGTAATAAGTATGAGAGCTAAATATCTTACAGGTGACACAAAGTCTACTGGAATCCCTTTTTGCAGAGCACCATTTAGCCTCTCAAGGTCTCCATCCCAAGCAGCATGGAAAAGAGAAATTTCCTGAAAATTTATTAATGACAGAACATCATCATACAGTCAGATGTAGAATAAAATTTATTTTACATTTAATTGAGGAATATTTCTCTCCATCTCTTCCACGTGGATTTTGTCAATTCCTCCCTGGGCCATTTCAGCAATTAAAAAGAAATCGTTCTTCAATTTGTTAGATAAAGGAGAGTGCCAGTGAAGGGTGAGTGGATTTAGGGTGTGGCCATCATACACCAGATAACCAGTGGGGATACGGAGTAGGGAGCTGGTGAGGCTGTGTATGGTGTTGTACTGTGCACTGTGAGGGTAGAACCCTCCAATTGAGCAGTGACGAGGTGGCTATCAGGAGGAGGAGAGGGCTGGGTACT